AGATCGACTCTGCCGGGGAAAAACTCTGTAACTGCTGCTGTTGTGAAGCTTCTCTTTGTCTTTTCTTTTCCTTCTAGGAAAGCTGATCTGCTGAAAACACCGACCACAACACACACTTCCACTGCTCCTCACACGCTGATTAAAAAGACCGGGACAGCGTACAGATAAAGTCAGAATTATTCGCCCTCCAGTGAATGTCTTTGTCAGATATTTCCCAAAGGATGATGAACAGAATCAGGAAATGTTCACAGTATTTTCTATAATATTTTTACTTCTGAAGAAAGTCTCATTTGTTTTATTTCAGCTAGAAGAAAAGCAGTTCTTAATTTATTTAAAGCCATTTTAAGGTCAATATTATTAGCCCCTTTAAGCAGTATTTGGTATGGATTGTCTCCAGAACACACCACTGTTATACAATGACCTGCAACCTTGTCACAATGATGTATGATGGGATTTGTAGTTCTTTTGATGGCAGATTTGTAGTTCTTCAGCGATTTGTACGGACTAGAATGCTGGAGAATTACAAATCTGCCAATAAAAGAACTACAAATCCCATTATACTTGTTTACACACACCAGTTGCAGTTCACCAGCTGATTGCATGCACATGCAGATGGAAGCTCATCACGGACTAATTACACAGCTCACACACACACACACACACACACATCAGGGCTGAGTCTTGTTCACTGTTTTCTGTAAGCATTTCAAAGTGTTATTTCTTTACTAGTGTTAATTGTTTTATGTTGTTTGCCGCCTGAACTGATCTCTTTGCCTGTGACCCCGCTACGCTTTTGGATAACCTGCATGCTCCTGCTTTGCTTCTGTGTTGAGCATTGCCTGCCTGGTCATTCTCAGTTGAATAAAGTACTGCACGTGGATCCTCAACTCCGTAGTCCAGCGTCCTTAAGTCATTCTAAGTCATTGTTCATAATAAAACAAATAAGACTTTCTCCAGAAGGAAAAATATTATAGGAAATACTGTGAAAAATTCCTTAATTTGTTGAATAAAAATCACAGATGGGAAAATGGCCAATAAAATTGCTGCTTGTACATTGATTTAGACTGAAATGTTCCAAAAACAGATGATTTGAGTTTCTGGAGCGAGAGAGAGAGAGAGAGAGAGAGAGAGAGAGAGAGAGCGTTCTGCTGGATCTGCATATACTGTCCAACACACTTCTCGCCTGAGCAATTAATTATGCATCTTCTCTCTATACTATTGGTTTACCGCTGAGGATTTTGTCCTGAATATGCCGGTTTCAGAGACTTTTCCAGCCGCACTGCAGCAATGCACTGAAACACAACATTCATCTGCAAAACACTGAGCATTTAACACTCATGCACACTCTGAGAGAGCATGGAAACAAGACACACACACATTCAATAGACTTCGAATAATGTGTCACTTCATTATTTGAACGAAATAAAATGAATTAAAATAAAGTAAATTAAAATAATAAAAATAAAAATTAAATTAAATAATAATGAAATTAAATTAAATAAAGTAGCGTAAATTTTATTTTAAATAAAGTTAATTAAAATAAAGTAATAAAATAATAACATTTAATTAAGTAAAGTAAATAATATAAAATAAAAATAAATTAAGTTAAAATAAGAAAATAAAATAATAATTCAATTAAATAAAGTAACGTAAAGTATTGAAATAAAATAAATATGAAATAAAATTAAAGTAAATAAAAAAACAATAAAAAAATAATTAAATTTAATTAAATATATTAAATAAAATTAAGTTAATTAAATTAAAATACAATAACAAAATACTAATAAAAATGAATTAAAGTAAAATAATTAAAATAAAGTAACAGGAAATAAAAATAAATGAAAATTAAAATAAATATGAAATAAAATAAAATAAATTAAAATAAAATAATAATGAAATTAAATTAAATAAAGTATCTTATAATAATAAAATAAATATTAAATAAAATTAAGTTAATTAAATTAAAATAAAAGTATCTTATAATAATACAATTAAATTAAACTAATTTAAAAAAAAAAATAAATAAAGCAAAATAAATAAAATAAAAAATATAATAAAATACACATAAAATATATAATAAAATAAAATTCAATTAAATATTTTAAAAACAATAAATAATAATAATAATAATACAAAAATAAATAAATATAAAAAATGTTTAATTACAGTAAAAGATCACTGAGCCACAGATCTTTAAAACGGCAGTCGTCAAGAGATACAGAATTGAAATAAACCCAAGAGCACTATAAAAACATGCATAACATTATTATAACAATTATAATATTTTATTAACATATTACTTTTAATGTAATTATTTAAAACGTATTTAATAATATACAATGAAGATAAAATTATTATTAATATTATTACTATAATTAATATTTATATAATTTTAATTATATTATAAACATTGCATTATAATAATTATATTATCATAAGTCATGTTTTACTTTTAATGTCATTATATAAAGTGAATAGATTTATATAATAAATAATACAAAATTAATATAATAACAATAACAACAATTATTAATATTATTATTGATTAAATATCAATATTATTATTATTACTATAATTATTATTTATAATATTTTAATTATAAATACTATATTATATTTTTATTGTAAAAATAATGTTTTCATTTTAATGTAATCATATAAAATGAATACATTTCTATAATAAATTAAAATATATATTAAATTAATATAATAATAGCAACAACTATTATTATTATTATTATTATAAATGATTGCTTTGACGATGAGTGCATTATTCACTATTCATTCATTGCTCAGTTTCAGTTCAGAAAAACAACTAAATAATTCTTTCTAGATTTTTCTTCCCAAACATTTTCAGTGGATTGTGTGTGTGTGTGTGTGTGTGCATGTGTGTGTTGTTCTCCTCTAGCATGTTTTGAATAAAATCACTGCTAACAACTGCTTGCCATATGTCAGATGTTCCCACTGAAAATCTGCTTTTATCCTAAATTTGACGAACGTCCAAAATGCAAAACTCTTTTCTTTGTAGTGATCTTTATAATTACAAATGATGGATAAAAAGTGAAACTCAACTGGACTGGCAAAGAACAGCAGTTATACCGCATACGTCTCGAGCGCTTAGCGTTCGTCTGTCACCAAAATAAAATAAATAAGTAAACTTGAAAGACATTGGCAATGCAACGCAGGCTGTCTACAAGAGTCAAAGACAAAAGAGGATTTCAGACATCAAACTGTTTGGTTTTTAAGTCATAGTTTGGTGTTGTTTTATGGAAAATTTCATGTAGGTTTTTGTGTCAATGTTTTGTCAATTAAGGCTTATTTAGCTTAAAAGACATCTCTCATATTGAGAATGAAGACATATTCTTCACTCAGGTGTGAGTTTCTCTAACAAAGTGTAAGAATCTTGATGATTCTGTGGGTCTCATCAATCAAATCTGAGCTTTACTTTGTATTCTCTATTGGATTCGGCTCAGGTGATTGGCTGGGCCATTCTACAGCTTAATTTTCTTTCTCTGAAAGCATCTGAGAGTCTCCTTGGCTGTGTTTTGGATCATTGTCTTGCTGAAATGTCCACCCTGGGTTCAACCTTATCCTCATGCTAATGTAGATGTTGGATTGAGGCAGCTGATATTCATTTAGACTGAGGAAGGGCAGAGGAGTGCTGAAGAACTACTGAGAGATTTCAACTGCTGTCAGAAGTCGTAAATTATGGATGTTTTCATAAGTTAAAGATAAAAGGGGCTTTTTCATTACATTACAATAATTTAATTAGTTGTATAATAATAGCAATAATAATAATAATAATAATAATAATAAAAATAATAATAATTATTATTAATATTATCATAATAATAACACAAATAATGAAATAATAATAATATCAATAACATTAATTATTATAATAACAACAACAATAATTATAACAAACATAATAATAATAATAATAATAATAATAATAATAATAACATTAATAATAATAAATAATAATAATAATAATAATAACAACAATAATAATAAAGATAAAAATAATAATAACAACACCAATAATAATAATAAAAATAATAAAAGTAATAATAATAATAATAATAATAATAATAACATTAATAATAAATACAAAAATAATAAAAATAACAACAATAATAATAATGATGATAAAAATAATAATAACATCACTAATAATAATATTATTAATAGTAATAGTAATAATAATATTAACAATAATAATAAATATAATGGGAATGAAAATAATAATAATTATTATTATATTGAAAATAAAAAAATAATGATAATAAAAATAAAATAATATTGTTAATAATAATAAAAACAAATGAAAATACAAAAAATAATAATAATAACATTAACATTAATAATAACAATTATACAACAACTATTATTGTTATTATTATTATTATTATTTGTTTAATTATTATTATTATTATTATTATTATTATTATTATATTTGCCATTATTGTTAACAATAATGTCAGTGTTATTAGAGTTGTTATTATTGTTATTATTATTATTACTTGTTTAATAATTATTATTATATTTGCCATTATTATTAACAATAATGTCAGTGTTATTATTATTTATTATTATTATTAGACGTTAAAATATCATTTAGTCAAAAATAGTGTAAATACCAGAAAAAAAATTGTCAGGCATATTTAGCACAATTTTTATTTGGTGGCATTAAAACTAAACAGTAAACATTACAAATGCTACCCTTTCCCTCCAACAGGGAAAACCAGCAACAATGAAGAATGCATGATTATATGCTGGCATGGCTTTGCAATGAAAAAATGTGAGATTATAATGGAAGTCAATGGGTCAAAAACAGACACCAAAGAGGAGTCAATTTGCCCAGAGTATATTGTTTTTGAAAGCATTTTCCCAGAATATGTGTCATAAGATTATATGTGTAAGGCTTGTCACCAAAAATCCCTCCATTTGCAAAAACACAGAGAAGATTGTGGCCAAATAATGTAGTTCAGACTCACTGATGTTTTCTGCAGGCATGCGCACCACCGCCGGCTCGATCAGGTTGTCCGCCAGCACAAACGCTCCTTCCTCTAGTGTGTCCAGCAGCATGGTGGCAGCGTGAGTTTGCTCCGTCGAGTTCATGTCTTCCCAGGATTTGAGCGCTTCTGGCCTTAGCAGGTTGTCAACTGTGTCCACGATGGCCTGAAATGAAGAAAACAAACTCCAATCACCGACGAGACCATTTTTGCCTTTCCTTTCCCAAGAAAAAACATGTAGAAATGCAGGCAACACATGGAGAAGTCAATGAGAAAACAGCCATGATGGAGAACCACGCGGTCATTGGTGCAAATATGATTGAGTTTTTGTCTTGTTTCTAGTCCAAATTAGATTCAAATGACATCACATTCAGTCTTTTAGTAGATACTTTTGTCTACAGGTGGTTTGTCAAGCCCACTCATCTGTTTTATTTTCAGAGACATTGAGAAAGTGTCAAATGCAAGTGTCTGAAAAAGTGTTAGAGAGATGAAAGAGGGTGTGTTCCACAGGTGGTTTGTCAGGACCACTCACCTGTGTGAGGCACACTCAAGAAAGAAATGTCTTTCATAAAAAAATAAAATAAAATAAAAGTACAATATTAAAGTAAAAATTAAAAATAAAATAAAAAGTAAAATAAAATAAATATTAAATTCAAAAAGTAAAGTAAATTAAAATGGTTAAATTAAATAAAATATTACAAAATTAAATAAATTAAAATAATAAAATTAAATTAAATAAAAAAAAATTTAAATTAAAAAAGTGAAGTCAAATAAAATAATAAAATTAAATAATACAATTAAATAATACAAAATCATTTAAAGTAAAATAATGAAGTAAAATAAAAAATAAATTCAAAAATTAAATTAAAAAGTAAAGTAAAACAAAAC